GTAGTAGTAGAAGTAGTGGTAGCAGTAGCAGTAGCAGTAGCAGTAGTAGTAGTTGTAGTAGTAGTAGTAGTAGTAGTATAGTAGTAGTAGTAGTAGTAGTAGTAGTAGTAGTAGTAGTGGAGTAGTCGTTGAAACTAAGATTGCTCACGCTCATCATGTTGTTGTTCGTCCTACTGCTACCTCTCCTGCATAGTCGAGTGGTCACTTCTTGCCTAGGTGGCCAACTGTGCTTTTGTTTGACAAGTTATCTTTGATGGACTCTTCAGCCTAGTTCCGAAACAGGAATGTGAAATTGCGTGGTTTCTGAAAGTTAAAGCTTGGACAAGTTGGCGGTTCGTGGGCGCTTCTCAGTGACTTCTGGGGTGACCGAGCCCTGACTTTACAGCTCACTGAACAAGTAAATGTGTTCAGGCTTTGGCATCTATGACACGAAGTGTGACGGCGCGTCGGAGGACAGACTGATGTAGAAAATGCTCCCAGCAATCCTCTTCATTTCGTCCTGCTTGCTCCCCTGCCCGGTTCGCAAGCGGAAGCGTTGCAGGAGTCTCCGGTGATCTTGATTGCCTCCCCGGGCCTCGACCTCCATGGTGTCGAGGAGTCTGCAATTGGCCACCAAGCTGAAGTTCTCACGCTCATGGACTTGCTGGCTGGACGCAGCTGAGTTCATACGCATCTCTCGCACCGGCACAAGCTCATGTAAGCCATGGGAAATTGTGCAGCCGCTGAACTCTTGCTCGTCTCGCTCTTGACTTCCCTCCTACCTCTAAGGCAGCTGCATCGTCCACATGGCGCTTGGTTCCGGGGTGGCATGCTCAGAAACAGGGCGAAGACCATCCCAGACATAACCGCATGACACAGAGATGCTGGCCCGGTGTGCCGGGACGAGAGGCATAAAGCTGTAATGTAGTGCGTTCCTTCTAGCATACTCACGTGTGCTGCTGAAACACGCTCCTGCTCAATCGTGTCGAGTCTGCTCTGTTACATGACACTGGAGAGTTTAAACTTGTTCCGCTTGTGCCTGTGGGACGCTGCCGCGCGCAGCAAACATCTCAAAAACACGCCTCTCCGAAGTTTTGTCACCTAATTGGCTGGCAGACGACGACAACTACCACCGTGGTCCAGCTGTGCAACTGGGAGATCAACATCAGCCGCGCCGACCCGCAACAGGTGGCCGGCGGCTTATAAGTTTAGCTAGAGATCAAGGATCGAATGCCCGAGAAATAGCCAGCCTGGTCAGTGAAGAAGTACCTTTACATCTACATGCTTGTACCTTTCTTGATAGATACTTCTCTTAATGCGACGTGCAACTTCGTTATGCATGCATCTGATGCATCCGCTGCCTCAGGGGGACTCCAACTCGGTGTGGAGGTCGCTGGATGTGAAGTCCCAGGCTCGGGAGATGCAATGCGAATAGAAACTACCACCGCTGCTACCTACCGACCTAAAGACAGACGTACAGACCGACCTGCATACTCCTACATTCACTACATCTACCACGATCACTGCTGCCGCTATTGCTGCTGCTACTACTACGACCACTACTGCTACGACTCCTCCTCCTCCGCCTCCTCTTGCTGCTGCTGTTGCTGCTGCTGCTACTATTGCTGCTGCTGCTGCTGCTGCTGCTGCTGCTGCTGCTACTGCTGCCGCTCCTCCTACCACTGCCACGACCACTACCACTGCAACTACTACCACTACTACTACAACAACCACCACCACGACGACTCCTACTACCGTCTTGATTTCTGCTACAAGTTTCTACACTATGACTACCAATTTCTACTATTACTACTACGACGACGGCAACGACGACGACGAACACGAAGACGAAGACGACGACGACGACGACGACGACGACGACGACGACGACGACGACGCACCACCAGACTTCGGCGGCGCGGGACAAATGATCTGAGCACCCAGCCAGGTACCTGATGCACTGGCGACATTCCATA